AATACCAAGTGTTTTCAGGACTATGGCTCTATAATAGAGCTTGAAGTCAGGGATGGTGATGCCTTCGGAAGTTCCTTCTATTTCCAGCATTCCCACAGATTGTGTGTTCTTTATTGTCTCTACTTCAGTTTTTAGGTCTTGAACTGTTTCCGTGAGAGATTTGTTGATATCTTGTATTTTTTGCTTTGTTTTTTCTTTCAATTCTTTAAGGAATTTTCTCATGTCCTCTTTGAGGCCCTTCTATCATTTTCATGAAGATTTTTTTTTTTTTTTTTTTGGTTTTTCGAGACAGGGTTTCTCTGTGGCTTTGGAGGCTGTCCTGGAACTAGCTCTTGTAGATCAGGCTGGTCTCAAACTCACAGAAATCTGCCTGCCTCTTCCTCCCAAGTGCTGGGATTAAAGGTGTGCGCCACCAACGCCCGGCTCATGAAGATGTTTTTAAGGCCATTCTCTTCTGCTTCATCTGCATTGTGATGATGTTCAGATCTTGCTGGTGAATGGATCCTACTCTCCGGTGGTGTCATATGGGGTTTTCTGTTGTTGAACCTGCTTTTTCCTTGACCTCTTCTATCCTTTCTCTGGTGGGTGTAGCTGGAGTCTCTTCCTCTCCTGGTGGTTATGGGACCAAGTTTCCCTTCTGGTAGATGCATACAGTTTCAATACTCTGATGTCTGTCGTCTTGTTGTGGATGGAGGCAGAATTGTCACCGGGCCCTAGGCAGAGTTTGCTTCCATTTGTTCTAAATCTTTCAGTTGCACTGTTAATTCTCTAGTGTGACTATTCTCCAGTTTCTTCATATGGGCATTTAGTGCTATGAACTTTCCTCTTAGCACTGCTTTCAAAGTGTCCTGTAGGTTTGGGTATGTTGTGTCTTCATTCTCATTAAATTCTAGAAGTCTTTAATTTTGTTTCTTCCTTGACCCAGGAATGGTGCCATTGTGCATTATTCAATTTCTATGAATTTGTAGGGTTTCTGCAATTTGTGGTGTTGTTGAATTCTAGCTTTAAAGCATGGTGGTCTGATAAGATACAGGAGGTTATTCCATTTTTTTTTATATCAGTGTAGGTTTGCTACATTACCGAGTATGTGGTCAATTTTAGAGAAGGTGCCATGTGGCGCTGAGAAGAAGGTACATTCTTTTGTGTTCAGATGGAATGAATGTTCTATAGATGTCTGTGAAACCCAGTTGGGTCATAACTTCTGTCAGATCCTTTGTTTCTTTGTTAAGTTTCTGTCTGGTGGTCCTGTCCAGTGGTGTAAGGGGGGGTGTTGAAGTCTCCTACTATAAGTGTGTGTGGTTTTATGTGTGATTTGAGCTTTAGTAATATTTCTTTTCCAAATGTGGATGCCTCTTTATTTGGGGCATAGATGTTCAGGATTGAGACTTCATCTTGATGGACTTTTCCTGTGATAAGTATGAAATGCCCTTCTTCATCTCTTTTGATTGGTTTTAGTTTGAAGTCTTAATTTGTTAGATATAAGAATTGCTACACCAGCTTGTTTCTTGGGTCCATTTGATTGGAAAATCTTTTCTGAACCCTTTTCTCTGAGGTACTGTGTGACTTTGAAGTTGAGGTGTGTTTTTGTCTGCAGCAGAAGGATGACTCCTGTCTTTGTATCCATTCTGTTAGCCTGTATCATTTTATAGGCAAGTTAAGACCATTGACATTGAGGGATATTAATGACCATTGATTGTTGATTCTTGTTTGTTTTGGATTTGTTGGTGGTGGTGTTATTGTGTGTGGATTTTCCCAGTTGTTTTTTTGTGTGGGGATTTTCCCCTTTTTTTTTTTTTTTTTTTTGGTGTTTGGTAAAGTGGGATTATCTATTGCCTATGGTTTTTTGAACATAGTTATCTTTGTTGTGTTGAAGTTTTCCTTCCAGTAATTTCTGTAGGGCTGGATTTGTGGATATGTATTGCATAAATCTGGTTTTGTCATGGAATATCTTGTTTTCTCCATTTATAGTGATTGAAAGTTTTGCTGGGTACAGTAGTCTGGGTTGGCATCCATGTTCTCTTAGCATTTGTAGAACATCTATCCAGGATCTTCTGGCTTTCAAAGTTTCCATTGATTAGTCAGGTGTAATTCAGATAGGTCTGCCTTTATATGTTACTTGGCCTTTTCCTTTTGCTGCTCTTAATATTTTTTCTTTATTCTTTAAGTTTGGTGTTTTGGTTATTATGTAGTGAGGGAACTTCTTTTTGTGGTTCACTCTAT